ATTTCTGTAAGCTGGCCTCTCAATAACTTGTTTTGATAACGCGGTTATTTCAAAAAATGACAAAAACATACAGAAATGAAGATTTGGATGAAGAAATTTCAAACTTTCATCAGATGCGGTACAACCGTTTTTGAAGTTAGGCAGTTACAATAACGGCAATGATGGTATCAAAACATTAAGTACATTTTTTTCAAAGCAAGTATTTCTTTACAAATGCCAAATTTCAAAAAAATATAAGCCACAATTGCGAAGATTTTTGGATTTGACGCTCCAAGATTTTTTGACTTTCCTGTTTTGTCACTGGCACTGATTTTGGTCGGTCTGTTTGTTAGCATTTTTCTATTTTCCTAATCTGGGAAAAGGCTTGAACGGTTTTAATGAGACTTGAGGGCGATATAGGTAAGGCGATAGAGGATAATGTTGCTTTATTTTGAGAATGGCAGCGGATAGAAACAAGTTTCAAATTATCGCCAGTGATGTTTCTAAGAAATTTATATTTATTTATATCTTTCTCTGAAATAAAAAAAGAAAATGGCTACCACATAAACATACTGGCTTTGTCCGTCCGACCACAGACAGTCAGCAATGGACAGATGTTTTGCGCTTATTGGCAGTTCATCATCATCGTCTCGGCTTGGCCTCAGGTTAGGACAACGAACGAAAACAACTACCTCTATCTGAGGTATAAGATCTGTCGAAACCCGACAGTATAAGGTGCCATCTATAGCCAGAATCGTAGCTTATGCTGGCTTATTTTAACAGTTAGTATATTATATCGTAACAGTAGAAGGAGACAAAGCAAAATCTATTCGTCAGATTTACCATAAAGTGGGCTAGAAAGTTCTTCTTTTGATGGGGTGTAGCGTTTACCGTGGGCTGATGGACTTTCTTTGGCTAAATTAGCAAAAATTTTTACTTTAGTTTCCTCATCTACTTCGTCGTCAAACGAATTAAACAGAGACCTAATCTGTCAAATATAATAATGTAAAGCTACTCTAGCAACTTCTTTGGTCAATTCATGTCGATAAAACTCTAGCAGGTTGTCAATTTCTGAAATATTCAAGCATGATAGCTTTCCAGTATACTATAAATCTGTACTTTCGTGGGATCAACCTTTTTCCACCTCTCGCGAAACTTTAATCAAATTCAAGCGGATAACCAAATGAAACTGGTATTTTACCATTTTGGGTTGGTATTTACCAATCCTTTCAAGCGAGTGTGGTTATCAGTTTGGTAATAAGATCCGTGACGTCATGAATCAGCTGTTATATGTCATAGTTATCACCGTAAATTGTGGTATTTACCCAACTCAGGAGTAGTTTTATGTTTCTGGTTATTATTTATTGTACTTCAGCTTCATTTTTGGGAAACAGGCTGACTTCAGTGTTAGCATAAAGTGGATCACCTTATTAGTTATGCTCATTACTGTTGTTGGGAGCACTTTAAATCTAGTTCCTATGCTTAAAACAGGATCCTGTGTAGCCATATACCACAAGAATATTAAAATATGGCCTCATAAACTCACTGGATGATGTCCACCTGTATACGGTTTTGCTAATATCACTTTTCATCGCTTTTTCATCATTTCTGCTAAATCAATTAATGTTTTCTTTGACATGCGGAAAACTTTAGAGAATTGGAAGTTATCATAGCTACAAAACCATGGTTCCATCATTAAAAATTTTTTTCTGAAGAAAAACATTTCTCCCATGAATATTATGAAAGGTTTCTTATTTAAACTTTCCATACACCGTTTTAAACGAAAAAGCACCTATTATTAAGTGATAATAAAAATAATCAGATATTATATACGCGCTTTTCTAAAATAAACAACTTGCACCAAAACCACGGTTAAAACGAACGCGTTCAAGCGATTCGTGTAACTGACGTCATCAACCCGTGTGTCATCTTGAACCATATTATAACCGCGGCACATAACACAGAAATTTTGGTTATTCGCTTGGATTTGATTTTTGTCGATCTTTGGTTGAAACACCCCTTTTAACACTAATTGGCAGACGTGATGGCGGCAAGCAAAAATAAGCATTTCTTTATCAAGTTTCTGCTCAAGAGGCACGCAGGCACCGTTAATGGAACCCTAATATTTATTTTTTGAGTTGTTAGAGTTAAATGGAAAAAATAGATGATATGCATTTGAAAAAAGAACTTTCATCACAACTGTGGCATTCAATAAATAACACATTCCATGAAAGATATTGACGGATCAAGGTAAATACTGATCCTGAGACGTTCACTTAAACGATACGGAGTACTTTATGAGGTCAAACTTGCATAGGCCAATAAAGAACTGGCACAGAAGCCTAAATGCCAGGAACCGCACTATCCAGATTTTTATTTAGAGAGGAGCGGTGGCATTAACTCTAAAGTAGGTATATACAATTCCTTTGTAAAATCGGTCTATATAATTTCTTATACAGGGTGACTTTAAAGTTGAGTCATTAATTTTCAGATAATGATTGTAGAAGGAAGATAAACCAAAATATGTGTGTAAAAATTAAAATAAAAATAAAAAAAATTTTACCTTGCTTTATAAAGTATCCTCCCGACAAGTATTTGAGTGCGGACCTGTATTTGATCGTGAGGTCTTGGAGCACCGGCATGCCGTCCCCTGTGAGGTCTTAAGTCACCTGATTCACGAGCCCGTTGTACTACATTAACAAAGACACGAGGGGTTGGTTGCACTCGATTGGGAAACCGATCCGCATAAACATGTGACATTTTTTATTTCGGTTATTCGCTTGGATTTGATTTTTGTCGATCTTTGGTTGAAACACCCCTTTTAACACTAATTGGCAGACGTGATGGCGGCAAGCAAAAATAAGCATTTCTTTATCAAGTTTCTGCTCAAGAGGCACGCAGGCACCGTTAATGGAACCCTAATATTTATTTTTTGAGTTGTTAGAGTTAAATGGAAAAAATAGATGATATGCATTTGAAAAAAGAACTTTCATCACAACTGTGGCATTCAATAAATAACACATTCCATGAAAGATATTGACGGATCAAGGTAAATACTGATCCTGAGACGTTCACTTAAACGATACGGAGTACTTTATGAGGTCAAACTTGCATAGGCCAATAAAGAACTGGCACAGAAGCCTAAATGCCAGGAACCGCGCTATCCAGATTTTTATTTAGAGAGGAGCGGTGGCATTAACTCTAAAGTAGGTATATACAATTCCTTTGTAAAATCGGTCTATATAATTTCTTATACAGGGTGACTTTAAAGTTGAGTCATTAATTTTCAGATAATGATTGTAGAAGGAAGATAAACCAAAATATGTGTGTAAAAATTAAAAAAAAAATAAAAAAAAATTTTACCTTGTTTTATAAAGTATCCTCCCGACAAATATTTCAGTGCGGACCTGTATTTGATCGTGAGGTCTTGGAGCACCGGCATGCCGTCCCCTGTGAGGTCTTAAGTCACCTGATTCACGAGCCCGTTGTACTACATTAACAAAGGCACGAGGGGTTGGTTGCACTCGATTGGGAAACCGATCCGCATAAACATGTGACATTTTTTATTTCGTTTGAGCCACGCAACAGACACCACTATTCACTCACGCGTTACCGACTGACACTGACTATATACAACACAACTGAATAAAATAATTGTAAAAACATCGTTCCAGATTCTTTCGCTTTTTTGTTTCCGATGCGATGAACCGATAAGGCGGATTATATCCGTTGTTGCTAAACACGAGCACATAATATTATTATTGAGACAGGGCGGTACTCAAACTTCCAAGGGGCTATAACTTTGTTACTTTAATTTTACCAGAAAAATGATAAAGGAAAAAACATTTCTTTTGATCAGATCTACTCACTGTTAAAATAAATGACTCAACTTCGAAGTCACCCTGTATAATACGGTACATTATTGGATAGTTGTACTGTACGTCTCTTGATAACATATTGAAACAGCGCTTTTCCATTTTTTTTACGCACATTCTTAAATTGCAGTATCCTTGTTGGCCTTGAAGATAGACAAAAGTGACTAGATGATTATGATTTAGAAACTGATATTGCCTGGATAGCAAAATCTTTGAACCACTCAAATAAACTCAACTACGTCTTAAAATAGATTAAAAAACCAATGCTGAATTTTGTGGGATTTCGACTGGGTAAAAGAATTTTTGCGTTCTAAATCGCCAGAAATGAAAATAAAGGATGTGAAGTTAATGATTTTATGGTCATAATCTTGGTACCAGATGAAGTTTACAAAATTTCTTCAAAATCCGATTACTCTGTGGCAACAGGATCGATCAGCAAAAAGTATAAATATATATTTTTCTCTCTGTAATGCAGATTCAAGAAATACCTGACAGACGCCACAAAAGGTGTACCTACTATGTTATATTTGAAAATTAGTCTTTCGTTTGAAGTTTTCTTCGCGATTGCAGTAATTCCCTGGCCCACTGGCTTGGATGGAAAATGAGCACCCTGAGTGAATTTTGGTAGATATTTAGGTACGGAAAAAATGAGAAAAATCGTATAGCTCAGAAACGGCGTATTTTAGAACTAGGCATATAACATTTGTAGTATAGCGAAAATTCGTCACATATCTCAAGTGTTTCTTCAAATTATTGTGACAAAGCATCTCGCTCAACATTTGCATGGAACTTTTAAAAAAGTATTTTCATATGAATTCTCAAATCATCGTGGAAGAATGGATAAGCATAAGGTAGATATAATTTGTGAAACTTCTACAAAAAAAAAAAAAAATTGAGCTGACCTCTTCTGTTGGGTACGTGCTTGTAGTCAGAACATATTTTACGGCTTTCCGAATTTCTTTAGACGACTAAGCTAGAAAATTATAGTTATTAGAGAAGAGGAAGCACCGGGTCTGTGTACGAGTCTTCATTTTCAGTGTCCATTGATCGCTGCATTATTACAGGCAGAACGCTCACCTAATACAGACGCAGTGAAATAAAACAACAGAATATCATTGATATAAATTAATTTATTTTTACTATATTTTTCTCGTCAGAGAATTCAGGGCGCGGCGCGTGTACAAAAATACCTAGAAATCTATTACATCTGCTATCACATCGGCAGTACACTGTAAAATTCATTAAAATCTCTCTCCTTAGACATTATCTAACATATATTTACACATCATATATATACAAATAAATAAATCAATATTGCAACAACAGAAACAAAAACAATACCGTTATGGTCTCAAAACCCATCATTTGGTAATCGATAGAATCTCGTGAACCATGGAATGTCAACAGATAGTCAAAACATAACTTGATGTTGAGTGACTACCACAATTATACAGTGTTTCCGCAAAGTTATGGTTTTCCTTTACACGACGTTTATTTTTATATTCACTTGGTCGCTCACGTTTCACCACACATAAGCTTTGTTATATCAAGCGTAGTTGTCTCTGAAAAGGAAAACCCCAACTTTGCGGAAACTCTGAATATAAGCATGCATATATGGCTCACGAGTCTTACATCGCAAAGGCATATGTAGCCTTATGTTCAAGATCTTTAGATCTGACTTTGTTCAATATACGCTGGGTCTTAGTTCTTCATTTTATATATTCAAGTCTTCCATCAGAATGTTTGACTTTTATGCAGTTTGGTGGGCATCAGCGCAGAAGTTGTAACACCGTAAAAAACCTTAGGAACAGGTAAGAAATTCGAGTTCCAGCTGAATTCCCTTCTGTCAGTCTTCATCGCCAGCAATCTGAGACGCAGAAATGTCTGAATCAACGGTGACATAAAATCTTCAACTCTGACAAATCCAGATTTCGTCTCTACATTGAAGCTTTGTTTAGTTGCACATCTAATACGGTCTCCAAACTGATTTGGTCGTACTTCCAGACGTGTGTAGCTTCGTGTTTGGACTCGTCGTCACATTTCTGATACTTCTGGAGCTAGGCGCTTTTAGCTCGCATTTGCTCTTGACACTTGGCTCCTTATCTTGCACTGTTGAGTCAGGATGCTGAAACTCTTGCAACAACACATTGGCAGGTTTGATAGGCACGAACGCAGACTTCACTACATCAATGTCTTCATCATCAGAATGCTCAGAAGCAGAAGAGCTCTGATCGACTGTGGAGTGTATCCTGGTTTCTTGAGCGCTTGAAGATAGCTGCGGACTGTCACTGTTGGAAATAGGTGATAATCTTTGCTCTGATGACGTTGAAACCATGGGTCGTAACGCTAAGTCGAAGCTTCCAGGTTTGTGCAGGTCCTGGGGAAATACCGGAAGCGATGGCAAGAAATTAGCAGCAACAGGGTGGAAAGTAGGGGCTGCAGCAGGTGCCGGGGGTTGAACGTAGAAGTCGTGTGGTGATGTGTGGACGGTTGGAGGTATCGTGGTACCTGAAACAGAAAACTTTATTGCAATCATCTAATCACAAGAAAATGTCGAATAGTTACAAAATACATGTGCTTAAGCGCGGGCATAACGCGCATCCATTTTATCAGGCAGAGCATCCCCTGGCTCATATTCACTTTGGCTGCCGAGCAGAACTGGCTAATAAAAACTGGATTCTCGCAAGCTTCTGACGCGGAATAATGAGGCAAAACAGATATTTTCAGTAAATTTTCAGACCACTAACAATTTCAATACCAATTTAACTAAATTCCCGGTTCATATCTCAGTAGTCTTTTGGTAGTCTTAAAACTTAGTTCTGTCCAAAATTTTTAAAATGATTCTGTAACACAGCTTATGAAACGCTGAGCCAACCTAAATCGTATAACTTATATATCAGATCCTTACCTTTTACTAAAGATGGATGTACACTAGGTTGCTGGCTGATGTTCGTACTCCTGTGCCTAAGGTAGTCAGGAAAAGCGTAAGTCATGTAGGCAGCGTCCAGCCATCCAGGGCTGAGCAGGAACGGGTTGAACCCGGCTGGGAGTCCAGGAATACCATATCCGTACTGGAAATCTGGAAACAATAGCGTCCTTTAATATCTCTTAAATTACATTATACTTTATTGTATTGCTGAAATCGATCACACCTGGATATTTGATAGGAGCAGGGTTTAAAAAATCACAATATTGATAATATAAAAAAAACAAGTAAGCTGAGAGACATAAAACATATTTGTAGGAGTTTTAAATGACTAATCTTATGCTCAAATAAAAGAAGATTTGAGAAACATACAAATGTAGAATTTGAGTTTTAACTGCCTCTTACTAGTCCCAAATTCCTTTTGAATTAATGTTTTAATGCGACTGCCATTTTTTATGCTCCAACTACCACGAAGGCTTAAGGCCTGAGCACCCATGGGTAGCGTGGGGCTATAGAGGGATACTGGGCAAAGGGGGGACGCCACCCGGACGCCAGCGAGGGAACACGTGTACATGCAGCATGTACACATTCTGGCCCCGCCTACGAGATCGATCTACCGGGTGGTACCTCCGCGGTCCACAGTCAGGACCGTCTACCACCTACGGACAATCACAACATCCACCACTACGCCACCGCTGATAGTGAAAAACAAAAGGTGCAATGGATTTTTGAGGATTTGTGAAATCAAAAAATTCCATTTAGTACTTCAAGCAAATACTGGAGCAACACGATCGCGGATATATGTATTTTTATTTTTAGAATTCATGCCAGTTTTCTAAAAATCCCGACGACAAATCAGTATGACGGTGTACATGGATATCTAACACGTTCTTACAAAATAAAGAAAGAACAAGCTGCATTTTTTAAGAGCGCTTGATAATACAACTAAATCACTTTTGGTAAACAGTCATTAATTTATAACCATTAAACAAGATGAATCGGAGGCGACTGCCTCTGTGAGACCTGTAAGCTGACAGTTTTTGAGAAATCTTAGTAGGCGGCAGGATTCAATAAACAACAAATGCATTTGTTTCTTTGTAAACCAGCCAAGAAGCCAATAACGAGCGCGTTTAACGGCTTTTAATGTTTTATAAACAACCAAAACAATGCGTAAACAACCCCGCATCAGACATAAACATAGTAAAGTTCTTTACGACCATTGGAAGGATTGTCGGCACATCAAAATCCGCCTATGTTTATTCTTATACAAATTGAAAACATTACAAATCGGTTTTATTAGCGCATGTGTTTGATGTTATCACAATCAAAAGGAAATATGAGATCGACGGATATTGATTTTCTCATGAAATAGATTGTTATTTGGCTAAGTACCTATACCCTTATAATTTGGTGTTTGGGTCAAAGCGTTAAAGTATATATACATGATTGATTTGTATATGTTTAGATACTAACCAAAAATATGACGAAATTTTAATTCACGTTTGGAAGTCGGTACATAGACAATCGAAAAGATCAGCAAGAAACAAACAAATGAGGCTACACAGCTTCGCTACGTCGCTCGCTTTCTTGGCGATTCCACAGTTATTCATGACAAACTGCTTTGAGAGACTCTGGGGTGTAGTAATTTTTTCATGAACTATGTATTGGAAATGCCTGTATGTACTCGATGAGGCATAATCAAGTTTTTGAAGGTGCTTGAAAGTTCTAAATCATTGACACCATAAGCTGAATTCGATATGTTTAAAACGATTGTATGATTTTAAACCTACTTGATTTGGTCCTGGGTTCCCTGGGTCCATCTACGGTGACCTTAATAGCCTTGTTATACGTCGCCATTTGGTAGAAGGGAGCACAACTGATCGTGATGGTTAAGGTAAAGCTCTTCCCTCTTCCACTTCTGCCCACGAATCGCAAGTCGTTGAACTTGGCCACTTGGTTCTTCATGATGGCTGTACAGTTCCTTAACTCCGCACAATAGTTTTCATCATTTCCCGCCTTTAGACTGACTATGGTTCCGTCCGGAACGTCATCCAATGCCACAACCTAGAAATTAAGATTAAAAATGTAGATTATAAAAATTTGATTATCGAATCGCTTCTCCAAAAAGATTGGTTATAAAAATTGTAGGTATAGCTTTGAAAATATTATAATAAACGCTAAGCGGTGAATGCGCACAGGGCTCATTTTTGTGACCAGTGCAATAGTGATATCAAGGTTTACAGTAGAGGCTTAGGAATAGAACGAAAAGTGGTTCTAGCCTCATTATTTTGCTATACGAAATGAAAGCAGAACTTAGAAATGGGAGTATTTCAGCTATGTGAAAAGTGAAAATTAAATTCCTTCCTTTCCGTTAAAGACGGTTATTGGCTTCTGGCTGAAATAACGACTTAAACATCTTTTTGCCTATTTCAACGTGAATCGGTAGGTACATATTTGTTGCTATATAAAATCATATAGTCTAAGATATGGTTGCCTAACACGCAAACGCTCTGTTTGCATTTGGAATTGAGAAAATGTTACGTCTATTACACTCTACCTACTACTGACCTACAGTCTGAAAGAGTTATGACTGGCCTTTCAAATACTTACACAAGTAACAAATGTGCACACGAGTGACTGTACTTCAATAATGATTGGAAATTCGTTGCACTAAAGTTGTTAAAACGTGTTTCCTGGGTTTTTTACTTTTTGAGAGAAAGCGCTTAGGATCTCATCACCATACATTTCACATCAATGGATACAGATATGATAATGATTGGTGCAATACCAAATATCACAATTACATGATTACAAGTTACTGAATTTAAACTTTCGTAAAAAAGAAATAGCAATATATAATGAACACATAGGCAAGAGCTTGTTCGAGATTCCACTGCAATTGTTTCGGTTTTTATTTGAGTGCAACATAAAGGTGGCAAATTGTTTAATTTTTGGGAAAAAAACGATAAAGCAAAATTGTTTTGAGCCTTACGTGTTTTAATTTATCTTTTATAGTATTGATTGATGGCTTTTACATTAAGTAAGCGAACTTTAGAACAACATTTTTATCCAAATTCAAACACCTAGTAACTACTGACTGAAACCTGATAATAATCCTTGCCTTAAAAGCTATCGGTAGGCTCTTGTTAGATCTCCAATGTGTCGGCAGAACACTACAAAGGATCGCAGGACTCCCTGTCTGCACCAACTCCCCATGGTACTCCTGTAGGGACTCTTGAAGCGATTGGTACATATCCGTCATCCTCGCCAAGTTCTGGCTACTCGGGAGATGCATCACAATTCACACTCACTATGTAAAACGGTTGTCTTTTCAACAAAAATTTCTCACTAAAAGTTTCGAATCCGAGTGTACGAAGTTCAAAACCGAGTTCTCCCGAAGAAAATGCCACTACCAACGCGAACTCGTCGTCAAGACTGAGGAGAACTTTTTCAGAAGCGGAATATTAACGGGCAAGCCGGTTGTCACCCCCACTCGATCGTCAAAGGAGGGTAGTTTTTAAAATAGGTGGCAAGAAAGGGCGCCGTATACCTGTGCGGGTGCGAGAGAGATGGACGGACGTGTGAACAAAAGAGAAAGAAAAATCCTGTTGACTAGTAAGAGAGCGAGAAAAAAAATGTACCGACCCGTTGGTGAATGAAAAGGAGAAGGACGGCGTTTTTGAAATCGATATGAGTTGGAGTGAGATGTAATTTTTGGTGTATGTGGAGGTATCAAAGACAGAGCTGGACTTTCTGGGTTTCGAAGGGCAATGCTGATTTATAAATCAAGGAAGTCTTTCTCACAGTAACATATTATCTATAGTTGGATTTTCATGTTCAACCTCCCCCTATTTTGATCAGCTTCTGGCATGAACATTCTAAAGCACTCTTCGGTAAATAGGAATTCAAGAAGCATTAAAATGTAGATAGAAAAATAGAACATTTAAATTTTATAACCTTTCAATATTATTTACTTTCCTGGGAATATGTTCGTAGTAATAGAAAGTACTGGTCGAAAAAGTATGACTAGGTGCCACACCATAGGTACGTTCTGGTAGGTATAGATACATGGAAAATTTTGGACAAAGTCAGTAGACTTAGGAATAGCACATCTCAACTTATTACACTTGTTTCAACTCTAGTTTTGAGTTTTAAAACCTAATATTAAAACTGCTAAAAAGCTGAAGACAAATTTATACATACGATGTAAGACACCAAATAAACATTTTCTGAACCATTAAAAATGTGAGAAAGTTCAACAAAACGGTTTAATCATCCAATTAAAAGGCTTATTTCCCTTTTCAAGGATGAATTTTGTTCCCGTGAAATAATGATTTGAGAAAATATATTATTTGTAAATTTTGTATGAGGCCTTATAATTACTAAGTTTGAATATGATGATTGCTCAGTAATTACAAATGAGTTAGGCGTACAATAAAAATTGTGGCCGGTACGTTGAACCTGCACTTCCCACGCAATGTTATCATCATTTCATAAAGGATTATGTTCGGCATAAGTTATGTCCCTTTGAGCTAGCTACAAACGTGTGTAACAAACAAAATTGTATGGATCAAGTCAGCCAATCAGGCGCATGCGTGTCGCGTCTGTAAATATTTTTGTTTTAAGGGCAAATGTACGGGGAAATGTATGATCTCTGAAATATATACTAATAGGTGCGTAAAATTGCCTGCGCTGGAAGCATATGAATATACTGCCGCAAAAAAATGAAATTTACAATCCCACACTCCCTACAAATCCTACCCCCGATTTTCAATCCATATAAAAATTATTCCGAAAATGATCAGTTGCTTCTAAAGCATAAAAAACGGAGTTTGGACGATATTTATTTCTTTCGTTTTCTGCCCTACACGCTACCTGCTCTGGATTTTCAAAAATTACAAAGATTTTTTGACCGTGGCGCAGTAGTTATCTCGGGTGAAAATTTCACCAAAATCCAAGCGACACTTTCCAAGTTATAGATCAAGGATTAGCTGACAGAAAGACAGACCAACGGAAATGAGTGCCATGGTTTTTTCGGGATCTACATGCCATAATATAACATCCAAAAAACATACCATTTTCTATTTTTTGTGATTACAATACTCCTTCGCCAGTAAGCGAGGGAAGTAGAACTATCGCCAGATAACCTACAGAATAGACCCTCAATCTTACGTGACGTCTTAAAATACATATTTTTCTGTGAACTGTAAGTAACTGATATTGATAGCTCTGACTAAAATCTTTGTATGAAATCATCGGGTTGTCGTCAACATGTACACCATGGATGCATGTCCTTGCTCCAACCCTGAACTAGATGTGGACCAGGGTTGGCCTAAACCCTGTAAATCTTCCGGTGAAAGTTTGTCTAAGATATTACACGGGATTTTAGGTAATTTACCCATGAAATATTGCATTGTGATTGGAATTAGGACCGTAAATAATAACGTGAATAGTATAATGGCTAATGGCGATACGAATATAGCTTGCACGCGTTCTATCCGCACAACTAGTGGGGCTATTCTTTTTATTTATGGGACTCAGTAAGTGTGAGAGATGGGCCTTGTAAGATACAATGGATAGCGGGATTAGGGCCATGTGTTTGGAATACTTTTTTCCTTGAGGTAGGACTAGCGCTGCAGTTCCATTTATAGGTTTCCTCAAATTGCTATCTTATAATATGCAGTTAAAATTTGCTTACATTTTGGGAAATTGGATAGAACAGAAAATATCAACTTACAGGTCTCCTATGCAAATATTTAAAAACCAGTTAGATAAATATGCATATGTAAATATGTTCAACAAGATCAATCTCTACTCTTGGATGGCTGATTAGACTAAGGCTTTAGTAAAATGTCATGTCTATAGTTGTTATGCACTAAATATTATCAATTAATTTTGCGGTAACGTTTTAATCCTCAACTATCTATGTTCATACGGTCGGTTCTCCAGATATTTATGTATGTCCTTATATAAAATTAATAACAGTGGAATGTTTAAAAAACTAGCGAATTTAACAGTAACGTTTGAAATTTCTTCTGTTTTACACGTTCAGTTTCAGGCTTTCATATGAACTTATTTCTTACGAAAATTTGGATAGAGGAATCTAATGTACTTCGCAGGATATCGTTCTAGGACTAAAATTATTACTCACTCCCATAAAATCGAAAATAGGAATGCAGGTACTTAGTGCACGTTACTTGATGCTGAACAAAAATCATTTATTTGATAGTGACTCTTAGTCCATTTTTGTGATTACTTATGCTGCCTTTAACGTATTCCAATCTGGTAAGACAATGAGACTCTAATGATTACTAATATTGGAAAAATAATAAATTGGATTATAGATTACATTGCTGTGGTTGTAGGAAGGAATCCAGTATAGATGCTTGTGTCGTTTTTGAAATGAGGTGCGGCAGCGTGATTCTCGATGACTATAATGTATAGCTTCAAGTAGGTTTTTCCTTCAAATTACACTAATGTAAGGTAATTAAAAACATTTAATAGTGTGTATTATAATGAATGAGTTCCTGTAAACAAGATCAATATTCCTTATTCATTCAATTATTTTATAGAACTAGGGTCCACAAATCTGACCAGGTAGCCGAAGTCGGTACACATCAACCCTGTTTATCAACATTTGTAATTTAAACAAGATTAGGGGTAAGTCCCATTCAGAAAATTTAAAAGTTTAATCTAATAGTCGGCATTCCTTTAAGTAACTATCCCTCAATGGTCATCTTAATCCGCTTAAGAGAAATATTGCCGGTGATTCTATAACCCTAGTTCATATTTTGCCGGCTCCCTTTTAAGTGGTATTCCTTCTGGCCACATCAAAAGAAGAATGTCATTACGATTAACATAGATTATCAGATTTGCTATTGGATTCTTGGTAAAGCATAAGGCTGTGATATATTACCGATTCCATTTCTTGCCTATCCTTTTTTTTTGATATATTAACTACTGATATTCACCTTCATATTTCATTTGATTGCATTTTAACATTTAGCTATTTTAAAACATGAAGCAGATATAGGCTAATAGGCTCTAACTTTGTACGACACTTAAAGATAACTCCATCAAAAAAGTTTCTGGGGACCCTGCTACTACTGTTTACCGGTGGTGTAAAATCCAGGATATACAGGTAGAGTTCTTGCAGAAGCTGTAAAACAAAACGGGAAGTGGGGTCCCGAATATATGGAATCAAATTCTACCAATTATTTCTCTGATTGTTCAGAAATAGGTTATACTATATCACCATTCACTAGAAGCAATTCTTTCTTCTAAGTTCAGAAAGTATTAAAATGGATAGGTAGGTACCTGAAACTGAATAAAGCCAATTATCATGTATAGAGAAATTGTGCTTTTCTAATAATAAGACAAGTTGCACTGACCCGCATATAACGCAGTTGCATGCATAAATAAATTGGATAACATTTTAAACAAACTAGGCTGTTTTCAAATACTACGGTCTGCACAAACAGGAGGCTCCACTTCCTATATACATTATACATTATAAAAGAAAAGTATATCAAGCCTATGTTGAACACATGTTTGCCACAAATATTCTTCGATGACCTAAATTGCACAGATAAATTTTCAATGTTTCCATTCCGTCTAGTCAGCAGTGACTCCCCTATACAGAGTGTTTCATTGAGAGCGAGAAATCTTCTAATTATGGCTATGGGTCACTAAGCGTCCTACGCTCGAGTATTTCACTTGACCACCATAATTAATCCACGTCACAGCTACTATACCAACGACAGCAACACTTGAATATAAAAATCATAAATGAAACTCAGGAATTCGAAGCATGCCACCGGCATTGCGTCTGTCGCATACTCTCAATCATCCACGAATAAAGGCCCGAGTTTTACCGAGTCCGCGGTTCAAATAAACAGTTTGACCGTTTTTAATGAAATGTTTAATTGTTCGAAATGTACCTTTTCTGAATAAACTAAATTACGTAAGGTTAACATTCAGTTTAATGAAACAGGTACATGGTTTGCTATTTTTCAGCAAACTAGTTTTATCGTACATTACTTTCAATTAAACTAGTTCCAAAAAATCAGTTTAATTACTGAACCGAATAATTTAGTTACTTAGAATAATCAAAACGGGTAATGAAAATTTTCCAGGACAACTGTTTAATTTACCACGTCTTCTCAGTGCACAGAGGTAATACTTTGACCTTTGCTCAAGAATTGTAATATAGATTTTAACAAAATTTTGATACAAGGTTACTATTATGAAAAAAGACGAAAAAATAGTATTCACTGAAAGTTATCGCTTATATACAGTAACCTAAACACTGAGGCTCACTAAGCTTCCAAGCTGGTGTATCACTGATAATATCAACATG